CTTCTGTGCCCGTGTCTGCCCCCAGACCAGCCAGCTGCCGCAGAGAGAGGGGCAGGGACAGGAATCAGAAGCTGGCGTTGGCCTCAGCCCTTGGAACCGGGACCTGCAGATCAGGTGTGGATGACATGAGGGGAAACCCTTTAGAAGAGCATGAGACCACCTTTCCTTACAGAATTCCTTACAGAATTCTCCCAGGAGTGAATGCTGAGTTTGATTCACTCGAATCACGACCCCTAAATGTGAGCTGTAAGTATGGACAATATGGGGAAAAGCAAACAATAGATTTAAATATGTGACAGTGAAGGAGTAGCCTTGATTTGTAAAGATCATTTAAAAGTAAATGAGAAAAAAGTCAAAATTTAATAACAACAAAAAAAGAGCTAATAGCCTGAACAGGCAGTTCATAAAGAAGATATGTGAATGAATAAAATATAGTGAAGAGGGATTCTTTACCAATTATGAAAGAAATGCAGATTAAACTAAAATGATCACATATTGTCCTGTCAGATAGTCTGTGTAATAGCCAAGGTGAAGGGGAGAATATGTATTGATTTAGATTTCCCTGAAGGGTCTTATAAAATGGCCATAAAATGACCATTCCACTTTGACCCGGTTCTTCAGCTTACAGCAGGTATCCAGAGAAACTAAAGAGATAAGTTAAAATTTTTGGATAGCTGTTATTTATAAAGGTAAACCCCTAGAAACCAACTCAGTGTCCAAAAAAGAGAAAAGGGTTCATTTAGCTGGGACGGCCAAAATAGTGGCACGTTATGTAGCCGTGAGAAATGGTGTTTTGGATGAACTGATAACGTGGCAGCATGCTTTCACATAACAAAACTGTTTAACAAAATTGTTTAATCATTTAATAAGAAAGAAAAGAATACAAAGTGATTGAAGCCGTGATCTCAGTTCTGTATTTTTAAAATCCATGTAAAAAGAATCCGTGAGCCATCTGATCCATCACTAACTCAACAGGTGTTCCTTGAGCCCCTGACCTGTGCCAGAATCCTGAGGCTCTAGGAGAAAGTGATGGAGGGAATGGCGGAGAGGAAGGTCATCAGATAGTTTACCACGTAGCTAGTTACAGCGGAGATGGGCGCTTCGGGGAAAAGTGCAGAATTCCGTGAGCACGTCGTGCAGGGGGCACGTTGCCACGTGGGGACAGCGTTGCTCTGCTTTTCTTCTCCACGCTTTTCTGTGCTCCCTGGATATTCTCCAGTCGGTGTTTTCTTTTGTGTTGACAATATAATACACTTTTGGTTTTAAAAAAGAGAAAAGGATTAAAACTGGAGTTTTTAAGCTGAGGGAGAGAGAGAGAAGCCAGGGGACCTGGGGGACGTGGACGGCTTCAGATACTCGCAGGGTGGTTTTGTGGGAGGAGCTGCAGGGCCCCTGTGAGCTCAGCGGGTCTCAGGCACCAGTGGGTCCTAAGCTCAGAGAGCGGTTTTGGCTCCCTATGAAATCCATCAGACAGTCTTACTTTTTAAGCAACATCATGAGTGAATGACTGAACACCCGAGGTGCTCCTGCTACAAACCGGGGCTGCATATAACAAGCTGTGCGTTTCAGAGGTGCAGCTGGGCACAGTAGCAAGCCAGGGAGAGCCCCAGAGTCACACAAACCCGAAAGCAGGGGGGAGGCTGTGAGCTGCTGGGGGCGCAGGGAGGGCGTGGGGGCTGATCCAGAAACACTGCACTTGATGGTAAGAGCCGTACCCACAGGGGAGGCGAGGCCTTGAACTCTGGAGGAAAGTTAAAAATGAGACTCCCCCATCCCACCCACACCCCCAGAAAGCGGCAGCTCATGCTACAGGTCACCCCAGTGGAAAGAAGGGTTGAGAACTTTCTTCCCTGGGGGTGAGTTCACGCCTCTGCTAGAAGCGCTTCCCCTGCTCAGCAGATCTGGGTGCTTGGGTTTGTCCCTGCTGCCTTCATGTCGGCTGGACACTCAGATTCCACTATTTATGCCAAATCTGAAGACAGACAAGGGACCCCCCAAGTGACCCCTCCAGTTGGATGCCTTCCCCAAAGACACCAAAAGCACGTGCAGCAAAGGCAAAAATAGACCAGCAGGACTGCCCCAAACTCTGTGCACCTAAGGAAACAGCCAGCAGAATGTAAAGACGGCCTCCTGGCTGGGAGGAAATACTTGCAAACCAGATTTCTGAAAAGGAGCTGCCACAGAATACTCTCATGGTTCCCCTTTGCTGGGACACACCACAGAAGAGATGCTGAGGCTTGTGGGGGCAGGGCGGGGGGTGGTCAGCAGACAGGCCGGCGTCTCCAGGGAGGGTGGGAATCCCAGGCTCAGGACCATCCCGAACCCTGGACTCGCCTCCCGGAGGGTTACAGACTCCGCAGCCGGACTGTAGGGAGTGCCTGGCCACCGTCACAACCCCCCACCCCCCGCCCCTGCGCCCCCAGTCTTCTTTCTGTCCCACAAGCTGGGACGTCAGGGTGGCATGACCAGCCGTCCTAGTTTCATCTCGGGTCCTGTGACCGGGGGAGCCCCAGGCAAGTGGTTGCTCCCCCTAAGCCTTGATCATTCGCGCTCAGAGTCTGGTGCCCAGTTCTGTTCAGCTGTAGGGATTACTGTTTATTAAGACTCAGCTGAGGCCATATCCTGCCCTACTGATGCTCTCATGTAGCTTCCTGATATCCTTGTGAAGCCGGCACAGTGATTATCCCCACTGACGGGTGAGGAAACTGAGGCTCCAAGGAGATCCTCGACTGGCCTGAAGTCCCACCCGTAGGAAGTGGCTGAGACTGGACTCACGTCAGTTCAGAGACACATTGTAACACCTGAAGCGGGGCTGCAGCTGAGAATCAGCGAGATGGCTGCTGGCCCGGAGGCAGTCACCAAGGAATTGTCTTTGCATGTTTGTGAATGACCTGGATTATTATCAGTCATCACTGCTTTACTCACTTTGGCGGAGATGTGTGCATTTTTTTGGGGGGGAGCTATGTGTGTTTGGTTTAATTTTTGTTTGAAATGTCTCCTGAGATACCGCAGGATGATTCAGATTGAAGATGAAAAGTAACAGTGCCCAGAAGTACCTAGAAATAGTAGTAGGGGGTCAGTTTGATATTGATGAAGCAAATTTTGTCGCTAGAGAAACAACCATTGGTTTTTGCAAAGCAACAACGGAGAGAGATGGATTCCCTCAGTTAGACAAAGTTGGGTTAGGGTTTACTGCCGAGCTGCATGGAAAAGTATGGTCTGCACCATTAGTTCTCAGACTTGTGTTTATCAGGATCACACGGGCCACTTGTTAGACCAGATTGCTGGGCCCACCCTAGAGTTTCTGGTTCAGTAAGCTGGGGTGGGGCCCAAGAATTTGCCTCTGTAGCAGATTCCTAGGTAAGTCCAGCGCTGCTGCCTGGGGACCCAGCGCTGCTGGCTGGGGGCCACACTTTGAGACCAGTAGCTAAATCCCACAGATGAAGCATCTCAACAAGAGGCGGGTGTGGGTGATCAGGTCATCAGAGACTTGGCAAGAAGATGGAACTTCAGCTTGTCAGAATCTTTTGCCAGCTTTAAACAAAAGCCACTTAACTCCCCGCTACATGTTTCAACTGAGAAGAATGGAAACCATGAGTTTGCTCAAACGCCAAATGCTGGTCCACCTGGTTGTTCTTTGACATACGCTGGGATGAAGTTGTCACTGCTCAAGGTGCCCAAGAGGTACACGCCAAGAATGTGGATTTCCTGTCAAATGTTCAATGAAGTCTCACAGAACTCATTCAGTATATATAAAATGTCTAAGGAATATCAGTATATGTAAAATACCTATAAGGAATATGAAAGCAATGTATTATCATCTGTTGAACTGACAGCTTTTAAAAATTTATTGTATATAAAATAATGTGACATCTTACAGTCTATAACATCTTAGCTTCAAAAAGAGAGAATGTTTAAGAGAGAATAACTGGCACCTCAGACCTTTGGCATGAGTATTACTGCTTCAGGCAAAGCCGAATAAGGAGTGATGTCAGGCCCGTGTGGATTTAAAGAAGTGTACTTTGTAAATACAGTGGAGAAGTGTCAAAGGTAGTGCCTCCGTGACTGAAGTTTGGGAAGCAGAATGTGACGTGGGCTCTCAAAATCATCAGGAGGGCCTCTCAGCCGGACAGGTTCACCGGAAGAAGTCCCAGAGGCTGTATTTACTCCTGTCTGCAGCCAGATCTCCATGTGACGATTACAGACACTACAGGAAGAGAGAAAATACATATTCCCAAACTGCAAATTATAAACTTAATTAACAAAGCAGTGAAAACAATTTTAAGAAAAGACATTTGGGACTGCCTGTTTTACTTGTTATAATGACAAGAGTTAAAGATGATAATGATGTTTATTCTTTTTTCCCCAAAACTTCAGTGAGAATATAAGGTTGTTCGGTGGGTTGGTTGGTTTTAGGAGTGCTTGAAGAGTGTTTGTGTTTAGAGAGTATTTGTAGTTTGTCCACAATTCCTTCAGTCAGTTCCTTTCTGGTTTTTGTAAGGATTTTGTGATAAAGCTTATGAAAGTACAGTACCTAATGCATTTGGGTGAAGTTAACAGAAAACCTACCTGATATAAACAATAGGACATTTCTTGTTTATTTAATGAGTGTAGATTTGAATGGGTTTCAGGGCTCTGGCCCAACATCTCGCTTTATGGTTACAAAGTGGCTGCCTCGATCCAGACATCACATCCTCATCAGGCATGTCCAAAGACAAATAGTAGGGCAGCCAGGGCAGCAAGAATGAGTTTTCCTCAACGACCTCTCTTTCTGCCCCCACCTTTTTTTTTAAATCAGGGAGAACATCTTTTCCAGAAACACCCCCAGCGGATGTTCTCTAGGGTATCATTGGCTAGAACAGGGTCACGTGATCACTCCTAAGCAGCAAGAAACAATGGGAAAACAATCTAACATATTTATTCTCACAAAGGAAAGTAGGCAAAAGGAGAAGCTACTGGGTATTCATATTATGAAAATTAATAATCATCCTATCTTTTAGTTTCAGCTCCAGAATTTGTGTTTGAACATGGCTATCAAACATATCTGCCCACGGAAAGCAACGAAAACCAGACAGCCACTGTCATCTCTGTCCCTGCCAAGTCACGTGCGAAAAAGCCCACCGCCCCACCTGCTCAGAAAAGGCTTAACTGCTGCTATCCAGGTAAAGGCGACATTGAGTCCTGCTTGGGTAGAGAATGTGACATCTAACAGGTCCAGGGCTCGAACTCCTGAATTCCCGACAACTGGGCAAAGATGTGCTCCAAACTGCTTGGCTTAGAAATCAATGCCACAGAATTTTCATCATTACATGTGACCCACCTCTCACTGGCCCTGGTCACCATGCACTTGGGCTCTAACACTTTAACAGCCAAGAATCTTTGAATGGCACTAATGAGAATTTCAGATTACTGTGAATTTTTCTTGGTGCCACAGCTTAGGAAGATATCCAGAAAAACTGTCCCTTATTTACTTTAAAAAAGGAAAACAAAAAAATTTATTTGGAAATAATTTCAGATTTAGGGAAAAGTTGCAAAAATAGTACAAAAAGTTTCTGAGCACCCTTTTGTTATTGTTCAGTCGCTAAGTCGTGTCTGACTCTTTTCCACCCCATGGACTGCAGCATGCCGGGCTTCCCTGTTCTTCACTGTCTCCTGGAGTTTGTTCAAATTCATGTCCATTGCAGTCAGTGAAGCTAGCTAACCATCTCATCCTCTGCCGGCCCCTTCTTTTCCCTTCAACCTTTACCTTTCATCTGGATTTCCCAAATATTAACATATTACATTTGCTTTGTTTTTTTCTGGTGGTTGGTGATTTAGTAGCTCAGTCGTGTCCAGCTCTTTGTGACCCCATGGATCACAGCCTGCCAGGCTCCTCTATCCATGGTATTCTCCAGGCAAAAATACTGGAGTGGGTTGCCATTTCCTCCTCCAGGGGATCTTCCCAACCGAGGAATCGAACCCAGGTCTCCTGCATTGCAGGCAGATTCTTGACCAACTGAGTTACAACGGAAGCCCCTGTTTTTTTCATGTTTCCCCCAAAGTTGTGGACATGACTTTTACCTCTAAGTACCTCAATATATACTTCCTAGAAACAAGGAAATTCTTTTATAAAACCACAGTATAATCATCAAAATCAGGAAATTAACATTGATAAATGCTGTTATCAAACTGCTGACTTTATTAAGATTATGCCAACAGTCTCATTAACATCCTCTGTATCAAAAGAAAAATATTTTTCCCTTGGTCCAGGATCCAGTTTGTGATCACACATGGCATTTAGTTCTCATGTGTCTTTGCTTTCCTTTAATGCTACGCTTTTGTCTTTCATGAACTTGATATTTTTGCAAAGTAACCGGCCAGTTATTGCATAAAATGTTCATCACTCTGGGTTTGTCTGATTAGATTTCGGTGCAGCAGTTTCAGCAGGATGCACAGAAGTGATGTTCTGTGCTTATTGATACCTGATATGAGGATTCACCCTGATACCTGCTGGTCCCGTTACCATGGTATAAATGTTCATCCGTTGGTTAGGGAAGTGGCTTCGCTGTTTCTCCATTCTAAAGTGACTGTTTCCCTCTGGCATTCATCTTTCCTTGCCTTTTTAAGGTTGCCAGTTCAAGACTGCCTATGGTATGAAGGACATGGAACGTCATTTAAAAATCCATACTGGTGAGTGGTCACACACATCCCCCCTCTGCTGGGAGGTGGGGGTCCAGACAGGTCAAACACATGATATGACGCAGACCTCATTGGTCATCACGGGAATACAAATACAAATGAAATAAAAACAAGATGCTGTTTCTACACATGATTTTGTCAGAAAAATGTTTAGAGCAAGAAAACTCAGTGCTAGAATCGATATGAGCAAACTTAGGAGTAGAAATGTGAACTGGTGTGGGCATTTTGAAAATTGATCTGCCAGAATTAATTACAACTTAAATGCACCTGCTCTTCTCATCTGGAGGAGAATATCCTGTAAGCGTGTGTGTGTATGGTGTGTGTGTAATTACGGGTAAACAGAGCAAGAAGGGGGAGAATAGTAACTTTTCACTTAGGTATCTTTATACTGCATCATTGGATGGATACCTGAGTGTGTCACTTTTGCAGTTTCCAAGGGGAAATGTAACAAAAACTATTCTCAAAGAAGAAAAAAAGATTGATGCATGGGAAAAAACCTGCGATGATTTCTTCTGATTTAATTTTCTTTAATGTATCATTTTTGTGTCTCCCAGACTTTAGGCATGGAGAAAGAATTACTTTTAGGCTATTTTTAACAAAGTATTAGATGCTCATAAGTCAAATGATATAGTCATGTATAAATTCAGTGAGTATCCATGTATATAAGGGAGGGACACTGAAATTTGTCATGGGCATCACTAACTGCCCAAAATCTGCTACTTAGCCTCAGATAAGTATCTATAAGATAAAATAAAGAAGACAAAATATCCAGCGGTTATCTCAGATATTCCTTGGCCAGGGCCAATGATTGCTTTGTTGCACTGGGGTCACCATCAGGTCTAATCAGCCTCACAGCATCTTGTCATTTGAATTTCATCAAGTTATCAGACTCTGAAATGATAACATTTCAGGTATTGGTAAGCATGCTCAATGTACCAAGCAGTAAATCTCTCCTGGTGGGTTTCCTCTGTTGAAGGTCCATCAGTCACATATAGCATACTCATCATTGCAAGAGTAAAGTGCTATCATGATTCTTGAAAATCAGGGAACTATTATAAAAGCATCAGTGAGGACAGTGACCTGAAGTTCACTGCTGCAGACCCTCAGGGAGCTCCCTCTCCTCCCAGTTAACCAGGCTTGGATTTGTAAGGTGGTTTCTGCAACAAAGGTAACTGCAGTGCCTCCGTTAACATCCTCAAGTCGGAGAGCTGACGGCGTGCCCTTGCCTTAGAAGGGGGTGTGGCCAGGGCCAGCAGGAGCCGGACTCTTTGCCACCCGCCCAGCTCCACCACTGTCCAGCATCGGAGTACACGGGCTGGCACCCACCGACGCTGCGTAGCAGCTGACAGTACTGAGAAGTGATGGTTGCTGGATTTTCTGACTATGAACATTTTTAATAATAAAATTGTAATCTTTAATACACTTCTGTAGATGTATTCTTAAAGCCCAGATGTTTATTCTATGAAGATAGTGATGACCTTTGACTGACAATTAACTTTAGCACTTAGCTATTTAGGATTTGGTCAAAGTATGTGTTTGGCATATAAAAAGTGAAAATCCTGACTCACTGCCTACCTCCTTCGTATCTGATAACCTGCCCAGAAGTCATCAGTCTTTAGAGTCCAGTGTGTCTCATTCTTAAATTTTGGCCGATAGCAGGCTTGCTGTGCTTGGTCGCTCAGTCGTGTCCGGCTCTTTGCGACCCACGGACTGCAGCCCCCAGGCTCCTCTGTCCATGGGATTCTCCGGGCAAGAACACTGGAGTGGGTTGCCATGCCCTCCTACAGGGGATCTTCCCAACCCAGGGATCAAACCCAGGTCTCCCAGATTGCAGGCAGATTCTTTATCATCTGAGCCACCAGGGAAGCCCATACTGGGCTTAAACAGACACAAAATGTTCCATTTCTTATAAAATTAATATTGTAAAAAAATAAAAATAAAATTAATATTGTATACGCTGTCACTGCAGCTTGCTGTTTCTCACTTAATGCTGGAGGTCTTTCCACATCCCTATGTGTATGTATCTACCTCATTCTTTCAATGGCCAAGTAGGAAATTGGTTCATTAATTTACAGTATATCCATACAGTGAAATACTTCACCCTTAACAATTATGTTCTAAAAATTTACTGATATGAATATGATTGAAATTATTTCAAGTATAAGAAAGTAGTCAATATTAGGGAGAGAGTGTTGCATTTGGCTAAGAAGGCAAGGCCATCCTGGATTCTGATCCAAGTTGAGAGGGTTAAGTAAAATCATTGAGAGATACAGTACCATTCAAAAATAAGTGTTTAAATTGATATTGGCCAGGAAGGCTTTTGTACCCCAAAATGTACACACACACATACAAAAGTCATCAGAAAAATTGGCAGGTGTTCAAGGGTGGCAGGGCTTCCCTGATCGCTCAGTTGGTGAAGAATCCGCCTGCCATGCAGGAAACCCCAGTTCAATTCCTGGGTTGGGAAGATCCGCTGGAGAAGGGACAGGCTACCCACTCCAGTATTCTGGGGCTTCCCTGGCGGCTCAGCTGGTAAAGAATCCACCTGCAATGTGGGAGACCCGGGTTTGATCCCTGGATTGGGAAGATCCCCAGAGAAGGGAACAGCTACCTACTCCAGTATTCTGACCTGGAGAATTCATGGACTGTACAGTCCATGAGGTCGCAAAGAGTCGGACACAGCTGAGCGACTTTCACTTCACTTCACTTTCACGGGTGGCAAGGTGACAGGTGTGTCCGTGAATACAGATTAAGCTTCTGTAACAGGGAAGCTCAAATGCCAGCTCACACACGGCAGGGCTTATGCCTGTCTCACATAACTGTCCAGAGGTAAGCAGGCGGTCTAGGCAGAGAGGCAGCTGTGTTCTGGGAGGTCGTCTGGGGGCTGACGTTCCCCCTGGTGTTACCGTGCGTTAGGTACACATCCACCCTCTGCAGCCGTGTTGTCCTCGCATGTGCGTCCGCCTCCACGTCTTGGGAACAGCTGGCCAGACAGGTGCAAAGAGAGAAAGTAAAAGTCAAGCGAAAGGAGCATGTTCACCTTCTTTGCCGTTTGATGGATGATGGCTTTATCGCAGAATCACCCCTGGCTGCAAGTGAGGCTGAGAAATGCATTCTTAGGCTGGTGAGCCATGAGCTCAGAGACTCTGAGTTTTAGGCTGTGTCTGTTATGAAAAAGAAGAAACACAAACGGGTATAAAAGACAATGTTCCTCATTTTTACTTAGCTGCACTTTAAAAATTTGAGTTGCTTTCTATTTTTAATTGATAAGGAACTCATTTTCGCTGTCAGAAAAATCAGAAAATACTAATGAACAAAATAGAAGAAGCAATTCCCCCTCTCCCAAGATGTTAGCACTTTGCCAGTTATCCATCTAGTTTTATTTATTATTATTATTTCTTTATTTGACTGCACTGGGTCTTAGCTGCAGCATGTGGGATCTAGTTCCTTCACCAAAGATTGAACCCTAGCCCCTTGCATTGGGAGTGCAGAGTCTTAGCCGCTGGACCACCAGGGGAGCCCCATCTAGTTTTATTTTTTAACTGGAGTCTAATTACTTTATAATGCTGTTGTAGTTTCTGCCATCCAACAAAGTGAATCAGCTATGTGTGTATATATATTTAAGTATATATATATATAATATACATATGTTACATATATATAATATATGTGTCTGTATATATATCCCCTCCCCACCACCCCACCCTCTGGGTCATCACAGAGCACCAAGCCAGCTCCCTGGGCTGTCCAGCCGCCCCCACTCACTGTCTGTTGAGGACTAAAACCCATCCAGCTAGTTTGGGCGGGAGTTTTAAAATATCCTGGGGTGACTCTGCCTTCCTCTTTTCTAAAGGCAGCGGGAAGTAAGCCTTTTTCCTTTTTCATCTTGTTCCCTGCTGCCGCATGTGCTTGTTTGAAGGCGACAAGCCCCACAAGTGTGAAGTCTGCGGCAAGTGCTTCAGCCGGAAGGACAAGCTGAAGACCCACATGCGCTGCCACACGGGCGTGAAGCCCTACAAGTGCAAGAGCTGCGACTACGCGGCTGCCGACAGCAGCAGCCTCAACAAGCACCTGCGCATCCACTCGGACGAGCGGCCCTTCAAGTGCCAGATCTGCCCCTACGCCAGCCGCAACTCCAGCCAGCTCACCGTGCACCTGCGCTCCCACACCGGTAAGTCTCCCGCGCGGCCCTCGCTCCGCGCCCACTGGCCTGTCGCGTCAGTCGCCGGCACCTTCAGGTGTTGAGTCACAGCCTCGGGAAAGGAACTGCGCACGTCAGTTCATCCCCCAGTGGCCCGTCTTGCTCTTCATCTGCTCAGAAGCATCTTTCTCTACACACCAGGCGAGAACAGTAAAGTTACACTTTATGCCTATCTTTATGTAGGTCTGTAACTCACTCACTAGTATTTAATCAAGAAGATGCTCTAAATAGAGATATAAAATGCAATTTTAGTAAACGCCTGCATAACACATGCTTAGATGTTTCAGTGATTTTTTTAAAGAATACTCATCAGTTCAACATGGGACAGCTTGATGGAAAAACTCAGCAGAGTAGGTAACTTAACAAATTATGTGTGTTTTCCTTTTCGCAAGTGTGTATCTGTTAGCTTTTGACTCATTGATGCTGTGTAACAACCACCACAAAATTTGAGTGGCATATTATATTAGTAAAAGCATTTATTGCTCACATACTTCAGGTCAGCAGGGGGTTGGCTAGACATTCCATTGATCTTTGTAGGGCTTTATCATGCGTGTGGGAAAGGGCAGGTGTCCACTGACCTTGGCTGGGCATCTGCTGGCTGTCCCCTGGCTTTGGCTGGGGCATTCTGGCTCTGTCCATATATCTCATGGCCTCCTTCTGGGACCAGTGGGCTACTCCACGTTTGTCCTTCCATGAGGATGGCAGACAAAACAAGCATGCCCCAATGTGTGAGCTCATTTCAAGCCTCTGCTTGCATCCCATTGGCTAAAGTCAGTTACCTGATTGGACCTGGTATCAAGGGGTAGGGCTGAGCTCACCCACAGTGGAGGGTCATCAAAGGTTACATGGTGGAGGCCATGAAGCAACCAGGGTTCACTCCACCCTCATCCACTTCCCTCTGACACGCACGTGCATTCTTGCTCTACCCGGACCCCCACAAATCACATCTAATCATAGAATCAGGTTTAAAGACCAGGATCCTATAATCTCCATCATGTACAGATATGGCCTCTCTTGGCCTAGAGCCTTTTGAATTTGAAATAAAAAGACAAGTTGTCTGTCCCCACACTCCCAACAGACAGCAGTGAAACACAGTCAGAATACTTACAATAATCCTGCCATTCCAAAGGGGGAGGACAGGAGGCACTTGGCCGTCACTGGCCCACAGATTTCTGAACTCTCTCTGGAAAGATGCTTCCAGGTCCCCCAACTCTGAGGACAGGGAATGTTTCTTGAATAAGCGTTGACCCAGCTGCCTGGTTTTCGGCTCTGTCCCCTACAGCATCCTTTCCTCACCTTCCATCACCACTTCTGAAAAGGAGTGGAAATGTGCTTTTGAGAAACTTTCTCCACCTGTTTCCTTCCTACAGAAACTTGGGATCTTTTTGGATTTTATTTTACTCTAGACTGGTGAGCTACCTTAAAAACATTGTGCATTTCCTGGGTATCTGTGTCAGAAGCCACACCCATACTCCTCTTGGAGACTTGCCTTTCTTCTAAACCTAATTATAGACACTTTTGGCATGTAACCTTCTGGAGGTTGAAACCAGTGAGGCTTTTAGGAATCCTTGTCCAGCTGAGAGGACTTAGCTGGCACCAACTTTATTCTTTTGGAGATTTTAACAAGGCACCTTATGCTTATACCCCTCTTTCCTCATTTGTTTTTCCCTCTGAGATCAGTTCCCTGGATATGATCTTTGTCCCCAGGCTTCTGTCTTACTTTGAAAATCTTTTGCTGGTTGGAGATGAGAAGCTTCATCCAGCCCAGCACATCTTTGAATTTCTATATTGTCTCTAAATTCCATTTTGAAATGCCCTGTTCTTCTTTGAGTTTGTCCCTTTCTTGTGGGACCTTATCAGATGCAGCTTGTAAGACATTTTCACTGTTTTACTTAGAATTAATCTCTTTGCTCAGATCCAAACTTCAGTGGGTACACTTTCTATCTTCTGAGTTAGAACAGGCGACAGTTTTACCAAACCATAAATACTGGCCATTAATTAAATACTGGCCATTGCCACTATTCCCTGCCTCTGCCTGCCACCCAGTCCCAGTCAGCGCTACATATTTTAGTTTTCTGTTACAGCAGCACTAGTTTCTGGATGCTAACATGTGTTTCAGTTATCTAATGTCACAATGATGCTGTGTAACAAAAGACCCCAGAAAACCTCAGTGGATGTAACAAGCCTTCTCTGCTCCTGTTTGGGGATCAGCTGAGTGTCACCTGGTCAACTCTGCTGGTCTTCGCTGGGCTCACTTACAAATCTGAGAGTCTGCCGGCCGTGGGCTGGGTGTCCAGTGGCCTTGGCTGCAGCAGTCCTGCTCTGCTCCGCCTCTGTCACCTTCCTTCTGGGACCAGCGGGCAAGGACAGGATTGACCTTCTCGTGGCGATGCATGACAGAGGTACACGTGGGCAAACCCTAATTCACAGACCCTGATTCAAGGCATTACTTGTATCAAGTCTAGTTAACACACCATCCCCCAAACCCAGTGACATGATTGAGGCTATCTGGGGGGTCATGGAAGGTCACCCTGCCTCTGCCAGGAGAGCCTGCATAATCACAAACCTGGACGAGGCCATGGCTGCAGAGAGGGCTAGGAGGTGGGGACATCTGGGGACATTAAGATACTACAGCAAGTTAAGACGTTGGCATGACTGGTGTCTATTTGATTTTCTTCAGAAGTCTCTCCCACCTAAGTTAGGGGCACTGAAGTATGCATTTTAACGAAATGGGTCAGAATCACCTTAGGAGGGAAAACTTACCACTTACAGTAGCATATTTAAGTTGGTCTAGAAAAGGTATATTTTCTAAAAATTTAAATGTATGCCATCTATGCAGTGTCTCCATGGAACATCCATCCCTTTTATAAATCTGTGGCACTTGTAAATTTTTAGAAATTATAAAATTAATAGGAGTTTGTTTTTATCTTTTTATCTCTTTGATCAACTACCTTGTCTTAGTAGCAACCTAAACTCAAGAAAGCCCTGTCAGCTTAAATATGGCAGTTACTTATTCATTGAGCAACATTCATTGAGTCTCAGGTACCAGATAGTGTGGGGACCAGGTAGTGGGCAGGGACGAACATAGTCAGTAGCTTTGGAGAATTTCTGGTCCTATGGGACTGGTACTAACATTTCTGCCTTGTTTAAGAAATTAATTTATGGTTAAGAGGAAAAGGACTTCCCTGGTAGCTCAGCTCGTAAAGAATCCGCCTGCAATTCAGGAGACCCCGATTCAATTCCTGGGTCAGGAAGATCCCCTGCAGAAGGGACAGGCTACCCACTCCAGTATTCTTGGGCATTCCTGGTGGCTGAGATGGTAAAGAATCCGCCTGCAATGCGGGAGACTGGATTCTATCCCTGGGTCAGGAAGATCCCCTGCAGAAGGGACAGGCTACCCACTCCAGTATTCTTGGGCGTCCCTGGCGGCTCAGATGGTAAAGAATCCGCCTGCAATGCGGGAGACTGCATTCTATCCCTGGGTCAGGAAGATCCCCTGGAGGAGGGTTTGGCTACCCACTCCAGTACTCTTGCCTGGGGAATTCCATGAACAGAGGAGCCTGGCAGGCTTCAGTCCATGGGGTCGCAAAGAGTCGGACATGACTGAGCGACTTTCACTTTCACTTTAAAAGGAAAAAGAGGAAAATATAAAAATTTTTTTAAAAAGGAAAAAGATGATGATGAAGAGATTTAAACCTTCTGCTTTCATGTCAGAAAGTGTTGTTAAGCTCTGCAACTCAGCTGTGAGATTTGGTTACCTGGTTTTTCCAGGTTTGACCTTTGCTGGTTGCTTTAAAAAAAAAAAGGCAAACAGATGGTCACTAATTTGGGCAGTGATCTAATTGGAATACCTAGTAGAACATTCTGGAGTAGCAGTTCTTCCTCTGAATTCACAGACACCTCCACCAAGAGATTCATAGGTAGACTTTAGGAGGTCCGTGAACTTGGATGAGGGGAAAAATTACATCTTCATTCTCACTGATCTTAATAAGGAATGTGATGTGTCCTTCGGTTATGAAAATGGGCATCCGATCTAATTACAGTATGTGTGAAACCTTGTCATCCATAGAAGTTACAAATCTTTTTATAGTGAGTGTTTTTGATAGATCAAAATATAGTTTACTTTCTTCTCTATTTAGAAATTATTATAGTCACTAGACCCGCCACTGGAGCTTGTCACTTCATGCACTAATGAAGCACACACATTGCCAAATCACAAGTTTTTTTCCTTCAATTTTTAATAACTTCGGGTACAATCAGTTTCTCTTGTCTTCCCATTGATTTTTATTTTAGTTTACCTTGTGCATTTAAACATTCTCCTGAGAAAGGATCCACAGATTTCATTGCCAAAGGGGGGCCCCATGACATAAAAAAGGTTACGAGCAACATTCTCAGGCAGAAGTCAGCAGGCTTTTTCTGTTTTAATAGTTTTCTTCGTTTATTTATGGCTGTGCTGGGTCTCCGTTGCTGCACGTGGCCTTCCCTCGGTGCAGTCAGTGGGGGCCACCCCACGGTCGGGGTGCACTGGCTCCCATTGCGGGGGCGGCTCCCAGTGTGGGGAACAGGCTCCAGGGCGCAAGGGCTCAGCGTTGCAGCGTGAGGACTGAGCAGTCACAGCTCCCCGGCTCTGGGGCGCAGCTCAGCATTGCAGCGTGAGGACTGAGCAGTCACAGCTCCCCGGCTCTGGGGCGCAGCTCAGCATTGCAGCGTGAGGACTGAGCAGTCACAGCTCCCCGGCTCTGGGGCGCAGCTCAGCATTGCAGCGTGAGGACTGAGCAGTCACAGCTCCCCGGCTCTGGGGCGCAGCTCAGCATTGCAGCGTGAGGACTGAGCAGTCACAGCTCCCCGGCTCTGGGGCGCAGCTCAGCATTGCAGCGTGAGGACTGAGCAGTCACAGCTCCCCGGCTCTGGGGCACAGCTCAGCATTGTAGCGTGAGGACTGAGCAGTCACAGCTCCCCGGCTCTGGGGCGCAGCTCAGCATTGCAGCTCACAGGCCTAGTTGTTCCAAGGCATGTGAGATCTCCCAGACCAGGGAGCAAACCAGCATCTCAGGGAAGCCCAGCAAGCTTTTTCCATAAAGAGCCAGATAGTTAACACTGTAGGCTTTGCGGACCATACAGTGTCTGTCACAGATTCTCACCTCTGCTGTTGCAGCATGAAAGCAATCATCAGCGACACATTATCAGATGGACACGACTGTGTTACAATAAAACTTTATTTACAGAAACAAACTGTGGGCCAGATGTGGCCCATAGTCTGTATAGCTTACCATTCCTTGTTCAAGAGTTTTGTGTGAATGACCTTAGTGGCATTTTAGTCATGCAAAGCGTTGTTTGGTTTGGAGCGTCTTCATTTTCTCAAAGCTTGTTTAATCTGCTCCCTGCCATCGTTAATTGCATTTATTGAACATCTCACATGATGTTATAAGTCTTGTACCAAAAAGCCAGAACGCAGTCCCACTCTTTTAGGTTTACAGTAAGAAAGCCTTGGTCATATGTACAGATAATGACCCAGCATCTAAAAATACCAGCTTTGGAATCAGCCTGGGTTGGAATCCGAGCTCTGCCATGTACTACCCAGTGACTCCGAACAAGTGATGTAGTCCCTCTAGGCCTCAGTTCTTCTCATTCATAAATAGTGCTGAGAATAATATTGACAGCGGTACCCACCTCATGGGAATGTCGGGATCTTCAAATGAGACCATTCTTGTGGAGTGCTCAGCAGGGCACCTGCCTTCCCAGAAGCCGCCGAAGACTCTTAGCTGCTGTTTCTCTTGCTCAAACAGCATTGCAATGGGTGGGCTCACCAATTTGCTTCAATTATCAGACGATTGGGACTTGGCATTCACTGAGGAAATAAATTTGGAATATCCATGTCCTTTCAGATGTTTGCAGTTTCGCTTTTCCTGTTCATCTTTCACCGCACATGAATCTTAAAAAAAAAAAAAAAAATCAAGCAGCTGGATTTTGTAACTCCAAGAGTAAAGAACACAGCTGGTGATGTGGATAAATTAAGTTGCACGCAATAAACACATCTTTAATGATAAACATCTACATGAAGTATAAGCGGGGCGTCTCAATCACTGTAAAAAGGATATTCTGATGAGTGAGCACGGAGCTGACTGATTTGAAAATGTACCCTTGAATCTGTTACAACACATAACTCAATCAAAATCAACGGATTATGCAAAATCATACAACTGTGAACGGTTCCCTAGCAGAGCGAGCACATTAATGGTAGGAAGAGCTAGCCTGATTGTTTCAAAGGATACACTGAGGGTATTCACAAATCTTTTACGGGGGACGATTAAGCAGCTTGATTTTCAGTCTCCATTTTCCTTCCGGGTATGATGATGGTGGTGGTGGGAAAGTTTGGGGAAAGGAAAGACGCCCCGGACCCCCCTCTTTTTTTTCCTCCCAGGGGCTGCTAGGAGCTGCAGTTAAAAGGTCTCCACGCGCCCGCCTCGGTTTAAGCGGGTTTCTGGTGTGTGCTTCGGGGGGATCCGCTGTGATTGTTGCCTGCCTGTTCTTATCGAAACTCACCTTGTGTTGACAGGGGACGCCCCCTTCCAGTGCTGGCTCTGTAGCGCCAAGTTCAAAATCAGCTCGGACTTGAAAAGGCACATGCGCGTGCACTCGGGGGAGAAGCCTTTCAAGTGCGAGTTCTGCAGCGTCCGCTGCACCATGAAGGGGAACCTCAAGTCGCACATCCGCATCAAGCACAGCGGGAAGAGCTTCACGTGTCCGCACTGCGACTTCCTGGGGGACAGCAAGGCGGCGCTCCGCAAGCACAGCCGGCTGCACCAGGCCGAGCACCCCGAGAAGTGCCCCGAGTGCAGTTACTCCTGCTCCAGCAAGGCCGCCCTGCGCGTGCACAGCCGTGTGCACTGCCCCGACCGGCCCTTCAAGTGCGGCCACTGCAGCTTCGACACCAAGCAGCCCAGCAACCTGGCCAAGCACGTGAAGAAGTTCCACGGCGACGCGCTCAAGAGCGAGGCGGCGGAGAGGAGAGACGCGGGCCGGCCGGGCGGCCGCCAGGCGGCCAGGCTGGACGCCAAGAAGACCTTCCACTGCGACCGCTGCGACGCCTCGTTCATGCGCGAGGACTCGCTCCGCAGCCACAGGCGTCAGCACAGTGAGTATGGCGACGGCAAGGGCGCCGACGTGACGGTCCTGCAGCTGCAGGTGGACGCCGGCAAGCCGCCCGCCGCGCCCCTGGCCCTGGGGCACCTGCCCCTGCCGCCCACCCCGGCGCCCCCGTTCAGCGAGGGCAGGGTCAAAATCATCGTGGGCCACCAAGTGCCCCAGGCCGGCACCATCGTCCAGGCGGCGGCGGCCGCCGTGAACATCGTGCAGCCCGCCTTGGTGGCGCCGAACGCCGAGGAGCTGCGGGGCAACAGCCGGCTGCAGGTCCTCCGCCAGGTCAACCTGATCGCGCCCCCTCCGCCCCCGGGCTGCCCCGGCGAGGCCGCGGCGCTGCCCCAGCCGGCTGTCCTGCTGACCACCCACGACCAGACCCTCATCCCCACCGCCCCGGGCGGCCCCCAGGAGGGCTCTGGCAACCAGACTTTCATCACCAGCTCGGGCATCACGTGCACTGACTTCGAAGGCCTGAACGCCCTGATTCAGGAGGGGACCGCTGAAGTGACGGTGGTCAGCGACGGAGGCCAGAGCATCGCAGTGGCCACCACGGCGCCGCCCATATTCTCCACGTCCCAGCAAGAGCTCCCCAAGCAGACTTACTCCATCATCCAAGGAGGGGCCCACCCAGCGCTGCTCTGTCCCGCGGATTCCATCCCGGACTAGTGCTTATAAGACAAGACCAAGGGGGGAAAAGGAGTGACACCCAAAAAGGACGTCAGAAAGAGAATTCTGTAAGAGAGTTACTGCTTCCTTACTGTTTTCAAGGGCTGCTGTGAAAAACGCCTCGCCCCCATAATAAATGGCAATTTTATACTGCTCACTGTAATTTGTTTACGCTGTGATGATTTTGAGCCCTCTGAATCACCCTGTTCTAACTGCTGTGGAGTGAGTCTTCAGTGCTACCAACATGACCCATTTAGGGGCTGGAATGAAATGAGTAGTGAATGCATTTGTTTGCTTCCAACTTGTTTCCCAGCTCTAATAAAGGATTTTTCCATCTCATTAAATTTGTGTAGTAGATGGTACTTCTCAGCCTATTGTGAGCTTCCATTCTGAAACCCCCCCAGTGTTTGGGGGTAATAGTGTTTTAATACATGGATACAAATCTATTGGCATGAAGGACCATTTTCTACATAATGTTACATGGATATGCCTAAAAACAGTTTAGGGCAAATGAGGGGGCGGGGGAAGGAATGGTTTCCTAGTAAGTTGATACATGATTCAAACATAACAAATGTTAATGATTCTTTAGAGTCACCGTATGATTTGGGTTATTGGGGCAGTGAGTTATATAATTAAAGAGAACTTGAATAAGCAAAGGTTCTTAGTCCTCTCTCATAAATAGTATGTAAACGTCTTACCTTCTTCACAGTCAAATATGTGTGGTGCCTAAAGTGACCCAACTATCATTTTTATTTTAAAACTTAAGAGTGACGAACCTGACATTTCTGTTTAGATGCTAATATAATGCAAGTTCCTGTTAGCCTTTAGGACAATTTTCTAGAATACCGTTGTGTTAGATATTAATATACATGCAGTCCCAGGGATCAGACAAGCGAGATTGGAAAAGCATCTATGTTTTTCCAAAGTGTGGGCTGTACAGAGAGGAAAATTCAAATTTTACTGTTTTGAATTGAAATGCCGTGTGATCAGTAGGTGGCGCCAGAGAGTAGTCTCAAGTTTCCCGTACTTCAAAGACCTGAGGCTTCCCTGGGGCTCAGATGGTAAAGAATCCACCTGCAACGCAGGAGACCCAGGTTCCATCCCTGGATGGGGAAGATCTCCTGGGAAGGGAATGGCTACCCACGCCAGTATTCTTGCTTGAAGAATTTCATAGACAAAGGAGCCTCAAGGGCTACATAGTTGATGGGATCGCAAAGAGTGGGACACAACTGAGCAAATAACACTTTCACTTTCAAAGACCTGAATTAGGGTCTTCGTCTCTGATTTCCAGCTTCTAGCATTATCTTCAGCTCAGGATGGGCTCTTAACAAACTCTAAATGAATGAAACATGCTGTCACAGAGCATCAGCAAAGATTGGTCGGGAGGGGAGGTTACACTTGTGAGAGAAGCATATTTAAAATGAGAGAACACTTTAGATACATTTTTACCAGAGTCATCAACACTTTAATTTCCGTAACACATGAACTTATTAAAATTCTCATGCATATCAACTCACTTTTACATAAAGATACTATCCCCCCTTTTTTTGTAATAGCAAACTGAGAAACGATGCAAAATGGAGATGCTGGAAACCTTGAGAGTTGCCTATTAGAAATGAAAGCCAGCTTTCCATAAGACACAGAGTTCGAGCTGCGTTTTGTCTTCTGCTTTTGATCCCTTCCACTTGAACACAGTTTTGATAATTCACATATCTTCTTTGCCAGAATTTATTTTCAGCTATGGTAATATGGTATTTATTTATCAGCTATGGTAATAATGCATCATTAGCTGTGGTTTGGTAAGAAATCAAAAAACTTGCAGTTTACTCTGTTAGTATTTTAGTTATTTTATCACTTTAGGATTATTGCTTGCAGCTCTTTGAGAAAATATTCAGCCACTAAATTCTAGCTGGGAAACTGTCATGAACCTATGTCCTACATGTTTCTTTTTTCCCAGTGTGCCCCTTGCTTCAACTTTTAAATGATATTTTCCTGCTTATGAATGTTATGTAGTCAAGATAGAAAATATGGGAACCATGTTACAACTCTTCCTCCAACATACGAGTGGGTTGTGTCCTGATAAAGCCATCATTAGGTTGAAAATATTACTAAGTCGAAAATATCATTAAGTCAAAAATGCATTTAATGCAGCTAATCTACCAAACATAGCTTAGCTTCACCTACCTTAAACATGCTCAAAACATTTACTTTAGCCGACCGCTGGGCTAATACAAAGCCCAACAAAGCCCATTTTGTAGCAGGATATGGAATATCTCAGGTAATGTATTGACCGCAGAAAGTGACGGTCATGGGTTGTAGGGGTACGGAATGACTGTAGGTGTATCACTGGTTCATCTTTGGGATCCCACGGCTGAGTCGCTGTCACTGCCCAGCCTCGGGAGAGAAGATCAGACTGCAGAGTGCTAGCCCAGGAAAAGATCGAAATTCAAAGTACAGTTCCATTGAATGCATATTGCTTTTGTACCATCGAAAAGTTAAAAAATTGTAAGTTGAGCCATCGTATAAATTTGGGGCCATCTGCATATATATTAAGAAAAATTCAAAGACGCTGATAGTTTTACTGCCCAGATGTAAAATTTGTGACCACCTTGATGTACCTCCTTCTAATCATTATTCTCTGTGCTTGCGTGTGTTTTCTACTCCAGTTACAGAGCTGGGGTTGAATCGAGCACACTGTTTTCTTTTCATATGCTATATTTGTCTTTAGACCATTACATCTACAGAGAGCTGCAGCTCTCCATTTATACATGTAAAGCACATACACATACATGCATATACACATGTGCATATTTGGATTTTTTTTCAACAAACTACAACAGGAAAACTTGTTCTTCCTGATAAACTATATATAGAGCTGGACAAAAACCAAGACAATAATCTCCAGCCAGCCTATTCTTACCCCACCCAAGGTAAGTAAGGTCTCTGTGTTCATACCAGCTCAAAAGATAACCTAGAAAAGTTTGTCCTTACTTTTTTAGTATTGCACTATATACATTTCTCTCTGATGTGAAAAATGAAAGTGTTAATCGTTCAGTCGTATCCGACCCTTTTCGAGCCCATGGACTGTAACCTACCAGGCTCCTCTGTCCATGGAGTTCTCCAGGCAAGAATACTGAAGGGGGTAGCCATTCCCTTCTCCGGGGGATCTTCCCCACCCAGGGATCGAACCCAGAGCTCCAGATTCTTTACCGTCTGAGCCACCAGTAAAGGTTTTTCCCTGTTTTTATAGTATCACACTACGTCCATTTCTCTCTGCCTTGCTCTTACTGCTCCACACACAGTACCATCTGTCAGTACAGCAACGCCTAACTTTTTTAAGCAAAAGGTAGAGTATGAATTACCGTGTTATAAGCACCCACCTCCATATTCGTGGATGTTTTGGTTGTTTGGGTGTTTGTTTGCCATTACAAACTGCCACAGTAAATGTCTTACGTAATTCTTCATATTCATTTGTGCTTCATTTTCTTTCTGTAGGTTAGATTTCTCAAAGTGAGTTTCAGTGAGTTTCTGTAGTTTGCACTTGCATAGACTCGGATGGCTTTTTCAAAATGATGGTCTTATTGGGGTATGAGCTCCAGCTCTCACCAGTCTCGGGTGTTACTGATCTTTTGAGGTCTAGTCAATCTGATGCGTGAAAATGGTAATCAGGACTCTGCATTCCCTGAGCTCGAGCTTTGATCTGCATCTCCCTGACGCCTCTGTGCAGACTTCTGATTATTTGCACTTTTCTTATCTATGAACTTTAAACTCATACTCTCATTTTTCTCCGTGGGTTGTTGGGCACCTGGCACATGAACCCCATGTCTGTCACATGGTACCCTTCTTCATTGTACATTCCTATGAAACTTTCCAATTTTTTTCTGTAATTAATGGTCTGTTTGGATTTTATATCTCAACCTGATATATTTTGGTACTACAGACTTTGCAAAAGGAAAAAAAAAACATTCATTTCACTCTAAATTTTCAAATCTGTAGTATGTAATTCCACTTAGTCTCTTAAAATTATTTAGAATCTTCAGTTTTTTTTGGTCTAACAGCTTTCTGATTACCTTTTTTGTTTGTTTGGGATTTTGTGGAAGGTTTTGGGGGTTTTTTGTTTGACTTTTGGTTTTGTTTTGTTGTTGTTGTTGGGTTTTTTGGGTTTTGTTTTGCTTTGTTTTTTGGTATTTTCAGTTTTCTCCTTAGGTAGTCTGCCAAAAGTTTATCTTGTTTTTTATGTAAAAGTAATGCTTTTGCTTTTATTTATTCTTTCTCTGCTTCTCCTCCATTTTATTCACTTCAGCATTTATCTTTATTTCAGTATTTTTATTAATTCGTTCCCCTGTTTTTCTTTCAGTTTATTTTATTATTCTAATTTCCTGTATTAAGTTCACTTATTTTCAGCCTTTAATAGTAAAAGCATTTAAACCTATGTGTTTTCCAGTATGACTTAAAGATCTTTTTTTTTTTTTTTTTCAGAAAAAGATCATTTTTTTTTTGAAGTTTCAAAATCATGACTGTCATACCAATATAAAATAAACAGGCATTAGCAATTTCATTTAATTCAGTAAGTAATGAAGGAATCAGTAAGATGTTACAACAGGTTCCAAGGAGAATTCAATGAATGAACACTTAAACAGGCAGTCAGGAATACTGAAGTGAGTTCACAGACAGATGCAAAATTGGTTAGTGTCTACAGGGCAACCATCAGTTGCATTCCATCCACAAAGTCTGTTGGCATTCTTGCATGTTTTTTGCATTATCGTATGTTTCTATAACTCACAAAGTTGTAAAATATCTCAAAAACACTGACGGGCATTGACCCCTGTAGAATTAGGGGACCTGGGGCTGGGATCTCACAGACCACCCAGTAATCTTTTTTGCCTGTTTCCAAGTCTTTCAGAAATTTTCTTGACATCCATATCTCTACAGATTTTTATATGAAGTGTCTTTTCAAAAATTTCTAGATTCTTTGTTATTCCAGTTTTAGGGTTGGCTGG